ATTCGCGAATTGGCCGCTTTCGGTTCGCGAGAGGGCGTCGCGGCCGTCGCGGCCATCGCTTTGGCGGGTCCAGGTTCGTCGGTTTCGGTCCCAGGTCGTTTTCACAAAAGAGTGGTTTACTACAGGGAGGCGAGTCCACCGCCGACTCGCTTCCCCGCCTTTCGCTCGCCGCCGCTCGTCTGCCACGACCTGCCCCGTGGCTCCTGGCCCGCGCCTGGACACCGCCACGCCGGCGGACGCCACGGGCCCGGGCGGGCAGGTCCACGCGGGAGCGCCTCGAGGAGCGCGGCGGCTGGGCCGGCCGCCTCTCCTCGCGACATCGTCCCCCGCGGCTCCCGCGCCCGCTGCACGTCGTCGTCGTCGCCGTCGCCGTCGTCGTCGTCGTCGTCGTCGTCGTCGTCGTCGTGCTCGTCCTCGTCGTCGTGCTCGTCGTTGTCGTCGTTGTCGCGCTCGGGCTCGTGCTCGAACTCGTGCTCGTGCTCTCGCTCTCGCTCGCCGTCGTCGTCGTCGAGGAGCGCACCGGGCCGCTCAGAGCACCCAGGCAGGCGGTCCGCGCGGCCTGCCCGCTGCCGTCCTCGTCCGCCGTCGCCGTCGCCGTCCTGCTGCCCACAGGCCAAAGCCCGAGCCGGGGCCCGAGCGCGACGAGGGGCCCTCAACGTCAGGCCCCTACCTGCGATTGATGCCCGATTGGGGAGCGATGTGACACCCAGAGCCCATCCACCTCTTCTCGCTGCCCCGCCCGCCCGCGCCCGAACCCAGGCTGCAAGGCCCGACTCCACGCCCGTCCACGGGTCCTGGGTAAGCTCGGGGGCGTCGAGTTTGTGCGGGCGTGCTTGCGCGGCCAGCATGAAACCGAGGATTTCTGTGGCGGCTAATCGTGTTGCCAGAGTTGAGTCGTGCCTGCCCCTCTACAGGAGGAACATTCAAAAATAGTAAAACAGGAAGGATATTTCGAGTGTTTTCATTCCACTTTGGAATATGTTTGGGTATGTTTGATTTTTCGTCCAAAATCCCCCTGTAGGAGCACATGCCCGACCTAAGGCTACTCGTGTTGCCAGATTATCCCGCGACGGGGGTCGTTCGGCCGTTCGCGCCAGGGCGCCGAGCTCCCCGCAAAAGAAAGCACCTGCGGGCGCAAACACTACTCCAGATTTCGTAAGAAAGGGAGGGGGGTCTCATTTCGGGGGGGGTCTCTTCCAGGCTATCTTGGAGGGCCTGGGGGGGTCTGGGGACGATGTTTTGGAGGGTTCTCCCACGGGGGGGGGGTCTGAAATGGCTTGCCTTGGAGGGTCCAGACCCCCTCCCTTTTATTATGAGATCTGGAGTAATAGTTGTGTCGGGCCCCAGGTCTCTGCGAGGTTCGACCTTGGAGCGCTTTCCGGGCCCAATCACGCCCCAAACATGCAGCGTCCTGCACAAACAATCAAGACGGAGGTTTTCCTGTATGTTCTCTCTTCGGTGCATCTGGTGGCCCTTACAAGGCCCCCAGACGTTCAAAACCGTTTCGGGATGAAAAGCTGGCCCTGGGGAAAGGGTCGTGATTTCCGTGAACCGCGTATCGCGATCATCATTTTTCAATCGGAAAGGCATGTGTCTTCTCGTATTGTTTGGATGTTTGCTGTTGCATGTTAGGGTTTGTTGTTGCTGACTTGGTATGTTGCATATTACTGCTTGTCGTGCGGCGAGCGTTTCGTGAGTGTCGCAAGGCCGTATTCGTTGGCGTAGCGCCTTGTGACTGAATTGCGCGATCGCTGCGTGGGCGGCGCTCGCGTGCATGGCGGCGTCAGTCAGGAGGGAAAACAACACACACACAATTATTTGTCGGTTCCCAGAACAAATGGGAAACTATGGGAAGTGGGGGGGAAGACAGAAACCCAGAACATATAACAAAATATGGGTAATCTGCTTATTTGTGTGTATTTATTTGTGTGTCCCAGGGCCCCTTCAGTCAGACATTGCCGCGCTCCGTCCGAGACACGATTTGTCGCCTGCCCGAGACACGAATCTGCATGAGCATAGGCTGCGCTGTGCGTCGTTGCGCCATTGCAAATTGACCAATCAGTTCGTTTGAGTGGTTCCTGTGACACCCCACGATGCCACGCATGCGGCGACATCACACGGTGCGTATGGTAGCACGCGCCATGCGCGCCTTCTTTGGGTGTTGCGAACGAGTTGCGTGTGGGTTGGTAGGATGTTCGCTCAAGCAGGTGAGGTGCCCCCCCCTATCCATCAATCACCCCTCCTTCATCCGCCGTCCCCGGTCCAGTTCTGAACCGCCCGCCTGTTAGAACTGTCCTCCCCCGTTCTCCTCCAGTCCCCGTCTGTCACTCGATCCTTCACCCTCCCTCGCATGTGTTTATCCCCCTCGTGCGTGGGGGTTGCGGATTGGTTGCCAGCATTTGTCTTCGTTCTCGCAAATTGAATGGCACGCGCGAGAGTTGGCAGACCAAGCAACCTGTCAAGCTGGGGAAAGCTTCCCGTAAGGGGGCAACGGGGAGCTAGCAAACCGATCTCGCTAGACCACTGGCGCCCACGAGGAGGACGAGGACGAGGAGGAGGACGAGGACGAAGACGCGGACGAGGAGGACGAGGATTGTGGAAGACGATCAACGGAGAGGAGGCACGTTGTCCAATACGTTCCTGATGCCTACGACATGTTCACCACAGGTGTAAGCCATGCAGAACACGTGTTTGAAACATGCTGCGCACGAGTCCATACAACATGGAGTGCAAATCCGAGATCGAATTCGTAGAGCTGTAAGAGTGCCCACTGCCATGACATCCGCAAGGCGAGGAGGGCCTCGCTCGGAGCCTGTTTTTTTGGATTCAGGCAAGTTTACTTGCATGGCGTTCGCCCCCCCCCCCCCCCCCCCCCCCGCCCCTCTTCAAGCGAATACTAGCGTGCAATGCCTTTCGACTTGCGTGATTTCTGCGCCCCCCCCGGGCTTGCTTCAGGCTCAGCCCCCCCCCCCGTCCATGCATTGGGAACCCCCAAACGGGGTGGTGAGATACCAGGTGGCGACCTGTAATCCCCACAAAGGTCACCGCTGGGTTTGGGGACGCGGGGTCACCACCGGGTTTTGTGACTCCTGGACCCACCAGTGTCTGGGACATCCCCGGAAAACCGCACGAGTCCCCAAACCGGGTGGTGACACCGAATCGCCCGAGACTCACCGCCAGGTGTTGTCACCACCACGTTTGGGGACGACCAAATGCAATTAAATTCGCCAGAGTCTAAAAAAACAGGCTCTTGAGAATCGGCTCACGCAGCTGATTTTCCCAGCTCCTCCCAGCGCCGGGAGGCGCCCATGTATCGAGGAATGGGCCTGGCGGCGGGGCCGAAACCAGCTGCATGCAGCAGATTCCCTAACCCACCCTTTCCCTATCCCCCCCTTTCGTTCGGCCCGATTGGACTCCTGAGATGTCGTGGGGGGATTCAGGGGCCTTCTGGGACTTCCAGGACTGCCGGGAGGTCGTCGCGGGCCGCTCCCCGTCCATGCAAGTAAACTTGCCAGAGTCTAAAAAAAACAGGCTCCCAGGGGAGGAAGAAACACACCACCGGCCCCGACAACTGGCGTCTGCTCCACGGCCAGGGACGTGCACTGAACCGCCCTGCCCTGCTCGATTCCTCTCTTGGGGTGCTTTTGCAACAAGGCTGGACCTGAACGGTGTTTTGGCGATTTCGTGGGCCGTTTTCGTTTCGATGTCATTTTGCTGTCAAGGCGAACTGAAGACAAAACGAGGGAAGACGAAAACAAAACTAAAACGAACAACACCGTTTAGGTTTGCCAGAGTCTAAGAATAACAGGCTCTCTCGCCCGTCGCCCCCCCCCCCCTGGGCGTGCCCCGCAGGAGGGCGCCACCGGAGTCCGGCCGGGCGGCGACGGAGGCGGCGGCTGCACGAGGATGTCCACGGACGACGCGGACGAGGCGCGGCCCCCCGCGGGGGAGGAGGAGGAGCAGGAGGAGGAGGAGGAGGAGGAGGAGGAGGAGGAGGAGGAGGAGGGGAGGAGGAGGGGAGGAGGAGGATGGGGGAGGAGGAGGAGGAGGAGGAGGAGGAGGAAGGGAGGAGGAGGAGGAGGAGGAGGAGACGGAGGAGGAGGAGGAGGAGGAGGGAGGAGGAGGAGGAGGAGGAGGAGGAGGAGCGGAGGAGGAGGAGGAGGAGGAGGAGGAGGAGGAGGAGGAGGAGGAGGAGGCGGAGGAGGCGGAGGAGGAGGAGTTTGGGCCAGCGGCCACTCGGCCACGCGCAGAGGGCGGCGGGAGGAGGGGGGAGGGCTTCTGGGCATCGCTCGGGCGTGTGATTTTTTTCTCGGCGAGGACCCCAGAGGAGCCTCCTGGACCAGCGAGCAAAAAAAAACACGCACGAGACCGAGAAATACACAGGGAATTGACGTCCGAGCGATGGCAAGCTCTCAGAGGCACCCCTGCTTCTCAGAAGGCGCGGGCCCCATCGAACAGGCGCGAGGCCGGCGCCCTCTAAGAAGCCGCCGCCCTCTAAGAAGGCCTCCTCCCTCCCTCCACCCCCTCTGATGAGCGCCGCCACGACACGGCGGCGAGGCCGCGTCGCCGGCGTGGGCGTCCGGGGTGCGGCGTCGCCGGCGGTCTGCGCTCCGGCGTTCTCCAGCGGTCTCGGCTTTCACAAATCGGGGGCGGACAGAACCCCCAACAGTGTCACGTCGATTAGTGGATTGTCCGTTTTCGGTTCTCGAGCGGGCGCCAGGGCCATTATGTTCCAGGCTGGCGCCCGCCAGGTTTGGGCCTCAGGTCGTTTTCGCGAAACCACGTTTTACTAAAGGGGGGTCTGTCCATCCCCGAACAAAAAGAAGAAGCATGGACGGAATCCGTACATTCGCCGTGGGGTAACACGGGTCCCGGGTCAAACGGGTCCCGAGATTCTTCGCCGTTTTGGGGATCTCGGGGCCCTCCCAGGGTCTCATGGCTGTCAGAAAACGGCCCGGGATAGAGAAATTCGTCTTGGGAGAGGGCCCCGGGGTCCGGGACCCGTTTCCCTCGGGACCCGCTTCCCCCATGTTGTATATTCAAGCGAGCAGAACCAGATACATGATCATAGGCGAAAGCCCGTTGGGGGTGCTATTGAAGCGCTCTTGGGGGCCTCTTGGGAGCCTCTTGGGCCGTCTTGCGACCATCTTTGGCGCCATGGAGCCATCCTAGGCCGTCTCGGAGGCTTCCTGTACCTTCTTGGGGGCCCTTTTTTACAAATGATTATTTCATCGAAACGCGAACACTTTTTTTGATAACGTCTGATTCCGGGGACGCGAAGAATGCGTAATGTAGATGACATCGTGGCTTCGGGGACGCAACTATTACGTAACGTGTGAGGGAGGAGGAAGGAGGAAAAAGAAGAAAAGAGAGGGAGGAGGGACGAGCGAGGAGGGAGGATGAGGAAGGACGAGTGAGGGAAGGAGCGGAGGAGGGGGGATTGGAGAATGGGGAAGGATGTCGAAGCTGGAATAGTGGAGAGCAGGCGTAACCTGCTTGGTCCCGACCTTTATTACAGAGCATGTCGAGGGCTATGGGGTCCGTGGGCATGAAAGAGGACAAGGAGCGGGAGGAGTAGAGGGAGGAATAGGTTAGTTTTGTGCAGTAGCAAGCTTTGCGCTACGTCTCCGCACTGGGTCAGACGTACTTGGATAGCATGGCACTGCATGGCAGAAGAAAGCGTAATAGGAATCCATCCTAGATCTTTGGTTATAGCAGAGGTTCGAAGCAGAGGCCTGAAACTGAAGAACCACGAGGAGGAAATTCTGGAGACATTTGGGTTTGAGCTGTATTCCAGCGGACGATGTACGTAACATTCTCTAGGCAATATTCACAATGGCAGTCTTGAGTATCTCGCACAATTACCTTACGGATCGGTTGCAACGTGACATTGACGAGAGTGGGGTGCCGTACATGTGGCCGTCGAGTGCCCATGAGAACGCTGGCCCCGTTAACAGGACCGGCCCCGTTAACAGGACCGGCACCGTGGACTTGTGTCCGTCCTTTTTTGGGGTCACGGGATGCGTGCCCGTTTCAGCGACTGCTCAATGGCCGCGTGCTCTTCTGCCACGGAGCCGTAGTGGAGCGTGTCACCCTCGAGCCGTTTGCGGCGTCCTCTCCTGCATCGAGGCGTGAGGGTGAGCGTGCTGAGCACGTCGAGGCGGGGTCGGAAAGCAGGTTCTGGCCACCCCATCGGCTGCTTGCATCGTCGGGTCAGCAGTGAGGGGAGGGTTGTTATGCTTCGCAGGGCCAGGGCAGTGGCGTCGTGGAGCCTCGGGCCTCTCAAGACCTCGCGCCTGAGCATGGGGCGGCGGTGGTCGCGCCAGGTGCTCGGTGTTACAGGCTGGTTGGGGTCCAGAGGTGATGGTATCTGGAGGCTGTCGCCCCTGCCGCCGACCCCCCACTTCAGCGACGTATGTGTAAGTCGGGTCTGTCCCTCTACAGGGGGAATACTCCAAAATAGTAAAAAATAGTCTGGGGACTATTATGTTTTGACCGTTTCTGAGCATTTGTTGGTGGCCTTTTTGGGGTATTTTTGATTTGTCTCCCAAAATCGGCCTGTAGGGGGACATGCCCGACCTAAACGTATGTTCTATTTATTGTGGAAAGGTGGCTTGCCGAGCACGCTAGGTTGGGGTCAGGCGAGACATCCAGGGCTGAGCGTCGCCCCTCTGGCATCCTGGCTCCCTGCTGCAGTTTGGATTCCTCCTTGTCTACGGACCCATGGTCATCGCGATGTAGACGGCATGACATCTTGGCGCTCCAAGGGGGGAGCCACCAGGGTGTATTTCAGTTAATGTGTGTCCAGAATCGTTGGACTCGGTCGGTAGGGTGGGGGAGGGGGCATTTATTCTTCAGGAGTAATGATAAACCCATCCCTGAAGGAGACGAAGTGGGGTTGGACAAGCAATCGCGTTTGACCACCTCCGCAATGGTGGGATTCTGACCTCGTAGACACCATGCGAGAGGTGGCCCTGGTCCGTTTCGGGCCATCCTCGCATGTCTGGGCCTCGAGATGCCGCGTGAGTTGGTCCGACCGAGCTCGCCTGAGACATCCTCGCAATTGTGGGTTTCGAAGTTGCCCCGCGAGAAATGGTTTAGCTCGTTTCGCTTTTGACATCCGCGTCATTCTCCTAAGGTGTTCAAGCCCGTTTCGCTTGAAACATCCTTGCACTTGTGGGCTCCGAGATGCCACGCGAGAGGTTCAGCCAGCTTCCCCACAGGTCAGAGCATCTCTGGGCCCAAGGATGCCCTGACTTGAGGTGGTCCAGCCAGTTTTGCCTGACACTTCGTTGCAATTGTAGGCCCGGAGATGATATGGCCTGAGGCGGTCCAGCCAGTTCCGCCTTACACATCGTTGTTACTCTGGGTTCATATATCTATATATATATATATAACCTTGCCTCACGTGGTCCGATCCCGGTTTGTTAAATTCATCCTTGCAGTTCTGGGTTCGGATGTCTTGGACCATTTCGTTTCGCTTGCGATCCTCGCCAATATGGTTTCATGTATGCCCTGACCTCACATGGTCTGAGTCCTTTTCGCCTGTGACATCGTCGCATTGTTGTGGGCTCGGAGATGCCCTGACCTGAGGTGGGCCAACCAATTTCGCCCTAGCTATCCTCGCAACTCTGGGCTCAGCGATGTCGTGTCCTCGGTGTCGCCGATGAGCCCTTCGGCAATTCAGGTCTCCTGTCCAGCGAACAGTGGGGGAGGCTGGGGTCCCCCTCGTCGCCAGCGGGAGCTTTGGGCACTGGCCCAGGGTTGCGAGTTGACACCTGTGCCGCTGAGTGCCGTCGTGGCGTCCCAGGAAGTCAGGCGGGTGGGCAGCCCGATCGTCACCACAGCCCGACGGGGCTGTGGGAGAGACTCTTCCCTTGTGGTCGGCCAGCCGCAGTAGGTGCGGGTCCGCCGTGCCACCGCGGATAGGCCCGATGGGGTTATTCGAAGGGGTCCCCCGACGGGGGGGCGCGGGAACTCAGGACCTCGGGCAGAAGAGTCTCCGCTGCTTGAGACCGGCGGCCAAGTAGGGTGGTGCAAGTGGCCGTGTCTCGGGGTGGCATCTCGAGGCGCCTCGCAACGGCGGCGCAGATGAATCGCCTGGGGCGCGTCTGTGCTGCCATTCGTGTTGCGGGGTGCGACTGCATGTGAACTCACGCAGGCGCCTTGGGCACCTTCCTTCGGATTGCGTCATCCAGGTGTTCTGTCCGGGCAAAAAAACTTTTGACGCGAGTGCCCTTTCCTTTGCCGAGGGGAAAAGGGGGGGGGGTGGCGGAGAACTCCCACTCGCCAGTCACCCCAAGGGGCGGGCGGATTTCCTGCGTCTTAGTGCGATGCCGCGTGGCGCTTCTTCGGAGGGGAGGCCCGACGGGACAAGTGGTGAGATCACCAGTGTTTTCAAGGCAGGCGGGGTTGGGAGGCATGCGGCGTCGCACCAGGTTCCCGTGAGAGGGGCAGCGATCGGCCAACATCAAGTTGGGCCCGGCTTTCCATGGGCTTTCGCCATGGGCTCATTTTTGGGAGCGTCCCGGGGGGCCCTACGGTGCCCGGCTAAATCAGTGAAAACCATGATTAAATCAAAAATGTTGGGCTCCTGGGGGTCCTCGTGCGAGCCTCTTCGGGGCCTCCCGAGCTGTTCTGGGACATCCGGGCCCGTCCTCACGCGTCGCGGGTGCATCTCAGGCCGTCTCGGAGACACGTTTGGGGCCTCTTGGAACCATGTGATTGTTTTTAAAAGACAGTTTGGCCGTCTTGGATGCTTTGTGGGGGGCATCTTGCGCTGGAAGCCCCGACGTGATTTGAAATGCGACGTGGCTTCCCAGTTGCCGGCGGATTGGGTCGAGAGTTGAAGGACTTAACCTACCAGAAGTTTGGTACGCAGTGAGGGTATTAGGGTTTGGGTGTTAGGGTGAGGGTATTAGGGTCCGGGA